CTTTCTCATCCTCAATGCTGCCATATTGGTCACTCACATTTGGTACATTGCCCTTCTCTTCACCCAAATCAATATTTATCTCTATCTATCTAACTGCTGCTGCTTTTTTAAATTTTTAATTGTGATGTGGGTGAAAGTTTACAGGGCAAATTCATTTTCCATACAACAGTTCATATACATTTTGTTTCATGACATTGACTACAATGTTCATAATGTAACAGCTCTCTTCCCACTTCCTCCCTGTGAATACCTTGGGTTTCCCAGTGTCTTTCTTTCCTATGCATTTTAACCACTGAGATACCTCCCTATGCAAATGTTACCCTTCTGATCTCCCATAGTTGACTGTTTTAAGGAGTGTACCTACCAGGTGTAAATGTTCCCCTTAAATGCTGGAATATTGTTTGGCTAGAAGCCAGGCAAGTGAGTTCAATTCCAGGCTCGAGAAGGGTGACTAGGGGCCATAGTCCCGGGGGTTTCTTGGCTAGCAGACGAATGCTTTAACCACAGTGCCAATAGTGCTCCTCTCACACCTGCTGCTCCCTATAAAATCGTTACATTACTCACTACTCAAACCAGAATCCAAAAAATATGGTCAGCGCAGACCACGTACTAAACACCCTCCAAATGAATGAATCCTTCAAATTCTCAATTATGGGGGAAAAATAATCTCAGTTATACTAAGTAAAAAAAAAAAAAAAAAACATAAACATCATAAGAGAAATGCTGAGCCAGAGGAAAAAAACTTCGAAGCCAAGTTTCAACATTCCGGTAGAGATACACCCACTGCTGCCAGGGTCAATCTTTCCGCCTCTCCAGAACTGACAAGCACCCTCAAAGGCGTTAGAGGAAAAAAAACCTAGCTCCTGTTCTACTCTGGTAACTTGGCTCTCCACGCTAGTCCCCAAACATAAACCCTTAAGGTGGACACAGCCACCTGCCAGCCAGCACTGAACAGACATGTCTGAACACCAGGCATCTTTCCATCTTCACCAGGGGTCACCCACAGAACCACAAACTCTGAAAAGACCAAATTCACCACGAACCTTATGGAATTGGCTGTTCCTGCTCGAGATAAACTATTTTCCTAGTTTCTGAAAGCAAACAAAAACTCCAAAGGTAAGTGGAACAGCCCTCCCAGAAATAATGCGATTTTAAAATCATACCCTTCCCCCCGCCGCCCCGCCCTTGACACTGACGAGCACACTCCGAGACCCTCCCCAGGGGCTCAGAGCGTTGGGTGGGTCCCTGGGGAAAAAGGCTTTTAGGCTGAGCTTTTGGTTGCTTCGGCGGGGTCCCCAGGAAAGCCGCCTGCAAACGGGTTTCAGAGTAAAACTGAAAGAAAAACTCCCAAACTCGCCCACTACAGCGGAAGGAGCAGAGCAGTAGGGGATTTTAGCTCAGAGTTGAGTGGTCCAAAGAGGATTCAATTTCTCCTCCTGCTCTCAGTTGCCTCCTCCGGCTCCTCTCCGGAGGCGGGCATGCAGCCCCAGTTCGCGCAAAACCCCCCACACACATGGTGTGTCCCTCCTCAGCAGAGCACATGAACTTTAAAATGGTGCCTCGCACGGGGGGACCGGACAAAAAAGAAAGAGTAAAAGGAGTCAAGGACTAGAGAGCGGGCGCGGGGGACAAGAGAGCCTGGGTGGCGGGTGGGGCTCCCAGGATGACGCGCATATCGCGGGTGGGGAAGTGGAAGGAGGCGCACCGGGCAAAGGTGGTGGAAGAAATGGAACGCGGCCCCTTTAAGAGGCCTTCACGGTGCTCAAGGACCGAGGGCCTCTCCTCTACCCCGGGTCCAGCGTGTGGAGCCCTTTCCTCGGGGAGAGCCATCCCCCGACCCGCTCCCCGAAGGCTTCTCTCTCGCCAGGTCCCGCCCGGCCCTGCCCCGGGACGGCGGCTCCTCCTTACCCCGCTGTCTGCCGCCTCCTCCCAGCTCTCAGCGACCTCCTCATCTTCCATCTTACTCGCCGCTTTCCCTCCTCCCTAACCCCTCCCCGCGCCTGCGCCCTGAAGTGCGCTTCCGTCGCGGGCGCGGGCACGCAAGTCTTTACTCAATGGACCCCGCCCCTGCCAAGCCCGGAAGAGGCTCCAGGTTCACAGGCCCAGTCATTAAGACAGACATGTTGGAAGAGGGCATCGAAGCCACAATGTTGCCATCTTTCTTAAGGACAACTCGTTATCTCTTGTTCGGAAGGGAAATCCACGTGAAGTCATCATCTTGAGTATGGGTAGTGTGTTCTTTGGAACCATCTTCTCTGAGGGCAAGCAATTACCGAAAACTTATTTTTTTAGAGTGAGTCCTAGTTTTCATACACTCTAAATTATGGTTTTTTCAAACATACCTCAACAAAAGATGAAAAATGTCTGCTGATGCACAGAAAATTTTATTATTTCTATCTCGTAGGGCGAAAATTACAGTATATCCTGCTCATAAAGCTCTGTTCCAAGATCTGTTAATACAGCCTTATATCCTATACTGTGAGGTAAAAACATTACCGTTACTGGACAATTCTGCACTTGAGCTGAGAGAACCAGCAGAAATCTCGCCATAGGGCCTAAGGCATTTGACTGCTAACCAGAAAGCTTGCGGTTCAAACCCACCAGCCACTCCTCCGAAGGAAGGTTGGGTAATCTACTTCCCTGGCAATATCGCCTCCGGTCCGACTGGACGGCACATAACAACAACAATGGTTCTCCTGGGTGTCTAATGAGAGATACATTCATTTTCATTGCCTTAAAAACTGTGTTTCTTCCTAAACATTAATGTTCCTGTCTTATTTTTCCTCAGTTTAGAAGTGGGGACTTTGGACTTTGAAGCTCCATTTCAGGTACTTCCTACTTGAACAAACTATGTGATCTTATGCAAGTTAAAGTTCCTGTGCCTTAGTTTCCCCAAATGTAAAAAAATTATGAAAATAATAACTACTTCAAAGATTCATAGATTGTAAAGATTAAACGAGTCACCATGCTGAAAACCTTAAAATAGCGATTGGCCCATAGTGCCAACGAGTCGTTTCCGACTCATAGCGACCCCATGCACAGCAGAACGAAACACTGCCCGATGCTACGCCAGCCCCACAGCCCATAGTAAGAGTTCCGTTATTATTATGAGGGTGTTTTGCCCATCTAAGGAAGATTTGGGGTTTTTTTGAAGGAAGATTTATAATTCTCTCTTTTACCTACCGAAATACAAAAGCAAGGCAAAAACAAACACCATATGTTTTTATTTTCACTAGCATGTTCCCAATAAGCCCTTCAGTATTAAAAACCTGCCATTCAGTACTGTTGCACTTGGCTGCTATAACCAAATTATCTGACTTCAAATGTTTTTCCTCATGTTTTCAGCATGCCATTAATCTTTCTGAAGGAATGGCTTCCTGTTGTGAAATTTTGCAATTTATTCTTCATGATTATTATTATAAATTCCAATCGTGTGTTAAATGTTACTAGTCTTTATTTAAAAATTAAAGTGATGTGCTTCTGAGTTTTGTGTGTTTCACTGTACATAAATTATATTTCAATAAAATGTATTTTTAAAATAAATGAATAGTATCAAAGTTCAACAAGACAGAAAATAACAAATGCTGGCGAGGTTGTGGAGAGATTGGGACTCTCATACACTGCTGGTGGGACTGTAAAATGGTACA